TCCCCATCAGACTTGTGCTCCAGACCCCTCCCCAGCTCCGTTGCCCTTCTCTGGACACGCTCCAGCACCTCAGTGTCCTTCTTGTAGTGAGGGGTCCAACACTGAACACAAGATTCGAGGTGCAGCCTCACCAGCGCCGAGTACAGGGGCAGGATCACTCTGGGCTCTGCACAGTCTGCTTGCAAGTGAACAGCAGTTATTTTATGTAATTCATTTAGATATTTTGTTTCATCCCTTTTTTTCCTCTCATGGTTAGGAAATGAAGGCGATAGATGTAACTGATCTTGGGCAGTACTAACTGTTGACACAAGGAGTGTTTGTACCATACTACCTTAGCTTTTGGTTGACTACTGCTTGCGCAGATATTTCTAACTGCAGGTCAGTCTGCCAGTAATAGATAGGAGCAGATGTTCCTGCTATAATATAACTCATAAGATGCTGGACTTAAGAGCAGACCTACAAAGCAGCAGGCTCCAAAACTGCTTTTTGTACCAAAGAAGAGAGTGCCAAAATTTGTACGAACGTGTTTAAAGGAAAATACAGCAGAGGGAGAGGTTGGAGCTTGAATGGGCAGGAAATGAGAAAAAACACTGCAGATGGACTATGTGATTGTGTGGTTATTTGTAAGGAATTGATTTATCTAAAAAAACACAGAAAGAAGGTGACTTAAATAGCTGGAAAACAAAAACCAAGAATAAAATTGTCAAGGGCAAGGAAATTAGAGGAATCTAACAAGGAGGAGATAGCCCGTATTAATCCACAAATCAAGATTAATTTAAGTTCTTATCAGGTATTAACACATTGTCTGTCTTTTTAGGTATGGGATACTCTCCTCTGCCAAGAATTCCTTGCCTTTGATTGAGGTAATACTGATGTTTTTTTGCTCTTTTTGCTTTGACTCTTTCTGGTTTTGAACATTAACAAGCACACACTGATGCACGCTTCACAGGGTAATAATTTTTTTTCTATATACTGTCACAAGTTCTTCATATCTCTGGTGTTCATGCCAACTTGATTCTAAGCATCTTTTCAGTAAAACAGAAACACATTTTCATAGGCAATGTAGCCAAGGCAGGTAAAATTTACAGAAAATGCAAACAGTTTAGCCACACAGTGTTTGTGATATCACGTTTACTGTTTTTATAACTTCTGGCAGTAATCTGGCAATTTACTGAATTGATAGGTGCCTCATGCCAAGCTCATGGGAATGCTAGAAAGGCCCACTGCATTTGCATACAACTTGACCTCCTCCTGTGAAATCTTAGAGTGTTTAGATGTGGAACTGAAGAAGCAGTAAAATATGAATGCTACACTGACTGACAGGTCTTTCAGTCTTGTTTGTTGTTTTTGGGGCCTTTGGTAAATGCTTTCCATGGCGTGTCTATAAATACTTCCCTGACCTATTAACACTGAGAAGGAATATTCTGGCCGGCACTAATTAGTTTGCAAGCTGTGATGAAAGGTATATTCTGATTGTCACTGCTTGTTTAATGTCAGATATCTCGCATCTGAAGCACACACACAAAGCATCTTTTGTGAAGACCTGAATTTCACTTTTGCATGAGTGAGGAAATCATAATTGTCACTGGTTAGTTTGGTTTCTAAGGCATGCATTTTACATTTTAGTTTTCTGTTAAATGCTAATACAAGGCTTTCCTGCACTTAGCTGATGTGCCAAGTGACTTTTGGAGAGGACTAAATTGATGAGAGGTGGTGTATGATGTGCCCAGCCCCAGGATTGGTATCAGGAGACACTGAGATTCAGAGCTGTACTGCAGATGATTTGCGTTCTCTTGGCTCTGGAGTGTAGTTATTTCCTGCTAGGGCTTATTTCAGTAGCCACAGCTACTCGCACAGTTCTGATGCAGCTGCTTTAGCCAGGAGTAAAGCCAACCCTTCATTTATTTTCCCACCTACTCCAAAGGGGGAATAAGGAAATGAGCAGCCTCCTTTGCACGTACAGGCTTGAGCCTGTGGTTAAGGTAGCCCGTATAGCTGTGGGAAGGAAGGAGAGAGGGGGCCTCTCGGGGGATGTTTTTGGAAGCAATATAGATGCATAGGTGTATATAACATGACTTTTACGAACAGTTTGACTTTTCAGGTTCCTACATTGACCAGGTCCTTTTTCTTTAAACCTTTCTCACTCACTTATATCAAATCATGGAGTGTTTGGAGGTTGTTTTCTAGATGTCCAGTCACTTGATTTCATGTAATGAAAGGAGGCTATTTCTGGCTCTTTGTGCGGTCAGCAATGACTAGTGAAACTTTGCCTTTCTTCTGGTCATATGCATTATGTTTGGTTCATACGCTTCTTTCCAAACTTTTAGCTCATTGTTACAGCTGGATTGTCTACAATAAAACAGATGGGGAGGAGGGCAGTGATGAAATGGGGGTTTTGGGAAAAGAGTCTAACAATTGATGCATGTAACACCTGAGTTCGATGACATGTCTAAAGCCAGCTGTCAAATGTGTCTATGTTTTGTTTCCTTAAAGACTATCCGTTGCCGTTCTGGCCAGAGCGTTGCTGGACACTTTCCACAAGGGTAGCTTTATTTCTTGCTGGGACGAAAGAAATGACTGTATCCTTGGTAGTACATATGAATTCACCTTCCCTGCTCCATCAGGAGCTAGTGTGAATCAAGACGCAACTATTTTTATGTGTGTATAGGTTGCTCAGAAGTGAAAAAACCTTCACTGTGTAGTATGCCTGCTGTTGAAAATCACAGGGAGGAGTCTGTATCTCCAACAACAAATGTGCTCTTCTGCTCTTTTGTCTGTTTAGCAGGCAAATGAAGCATAAGGTGTATCAGAAAAGCTTGCTGATATACTACTGAACAGACAGTACAACTGATCTATCTCTATTGATTTATGGGTTTGGTTTTTTTTTTTTTTGCTATTCACTAATTATTAGTGATTCTGTATTTATAGATTGTTCAATTTAATATTATTTATTCTGTAGTTAACGATTCACTGATTTAGTTACTTTCTGAATTTCTTTTCTATCCTTGCGGAGTGTTACCATGTCTGGCTGTGAAATGGGGATAATGGTACTTCCTGTTTCATGGTTTTATGGGCTTGAATTTGTGAAGGATTGAGTTTCATTTGGATGCATCATGTTAACAATGAAGAGTATAGAAAGTTCTGTGACAAATAGATGGAGCGGCGTGATGAAAGGGGCTCAGCAGAGAGTGAAAAACCCCATTAACACAACTTTTTGGTTTTTCCTACAGCTTTTCTCTAATTTCTACTGTTTTTCACTCTTTTGTGGTCAGGAGTGACTCACAGGCAGTAGTGACTAGACAGGGAATGGTGTGGGTGCATGGTCCCCCTGGTCCTCTCTGTGCTCGGGGCATCGTGTGCCTTCAGAGGGGTCTGTAGGGACTTGTGTTGTGGCTGCCTTTGGCCGCTCAGTCTGTTGGGTGCACAAGCACAAGATCCTTCCATTGCTGCTTAGACACTGAAGATACAGCCACGTGCACCGCTGGCCGCTACTCGATGCCTTTGTTACTGCTCTTGCATTAAGCATGCCTCTTCCAGCTGGGAATTCATGAAAAGTATTCTCTTTTCTGCTCTCTTTTCCCCAACAGTGTGTTAAAGTCTTGGAAGTTTTCTGCAGGCAATTTTGGTGTGATTTCCTTAACCTGCTGAGATCTGCTTTTAGACTAGAACAAAATGATTTGAATTCTCCTTTTGTCAGTTGTTACAGCTGTTGAGGTGTGGCGCTCGGGGGTGAGTACAGAAACTTACTTGTAGAGAATTTTTTTTTTTACTTCTGTATTTCATATAAAGAACACACATTGCATTTGGCTCATAATTTCAGTTTATTATCAAAATGTTTTCGTCAGATGACAAACTCAGAAAGCTAAAAGGAACATAGGTTTTTAAATATACCTATTGTAGCAGTCGTCTGAGGTATCTGGTACTTATTTTTGGAAATCTGTTTGCTTTGATATACAAAGCAGTAAGTTCCTTTGCAATCTGCATGAGGATGTTTAATACATATCATTGCAGATTTAAAGCCTTTTACCTTCTTACTTAAAGCTCCGTTCTTGCAATCAGCTGTGCAGCTTTACTGTGTGAAGACTGACATTGATCAGAACATGTACAAATTATGTGCAGGATCAGACCCTAAACACTGAGAAAGTCAGCCTGGAACCTTGAATATTGGTATACTCCACCGGAGAGCTCAGTTTTGTAGACTTTGTCTTATTGCCTAATACCATGCTTTACTCAAATTTCCCAGTTCTATGCAGCCACTGATAAAATATATTACAATAGTTCAAGTCAAAAGTGTAGCTCAGATTTAAATATAAAAACTAGGATTTATACATTACTAGAAACTTTAGAAAAGACCAACTTTAGAGAAAGCAAGAAAAAGCTTAGAAAACTGTGAAAGGGTCTTTGATCACAATCTTACAGGTTATATGCTCAAAAATTAATAAATTGCCTACAATTTCAGTTTGGCTGGAAAGCAGTAAATAAACTGTTGTAAATAGTGACTTCAGAATAATACACACTGGAATAATTAGTGAGAAGTTACTTAATTACAGCAGGTCTTTGGACTCTTGTATAAATGGTTTCAAGTACAAATGAAAACATTTTGGTAGAACAGAATTATCATAACAGCAGAGGGTACAAAGCCTGACACTTAGGATATAAACTGTTCTCTTGCTATCATGTTATGATGTCTAACACTGTCTGTTGCTTATATTTCCTTCCTCTGCTTGATCAGAAATATGCATTCCCTGACCGGTGGGAGAAAATGTGTTATACTTTGACATTAAAAAAAACAAAACAAAACCCACAGAAAGCCACTGGCCAGTGGGGAACAGGATTAACTGCAAGTGAAATGATACTGTACGCTGTCAGGTGATTGAGATTCTATAGGGTTCAGTGATCGGAAAAGCAGCCGATCAGCTAGAGCAGCTGATTGCTGCATTGGCATTAGTCCTTCAGTTGATGTTTTGATGTGTGATTATATTTTTTTGTTTGCTTGTTTGTTTTTGCCTGCTTACTAAGAATTACAGTGACTACTCTAGCATATACCCCTCAGTTTTCTTCCCTCCTCCCCTTCTCAAAATTAGTTCAAAATTTCTCTTTTTCTGGAAAGCTTCTCGAGATTCAAGGTTTACAGTTCCGTCACCAAACTCGGCACTTTTTAGCAGGATCCATGTAGTTTGTCTTGGTGCATGAAAAGGCTTCAGAAAACTCCGGCGAGTTTTGCAATGATCCTATGACCCTTTAAAACAAAACAACAACATCTTGTCATTGTTGCTTGCCTTTGTTTAAAACAAAGATGACGACCCACATTTTGTAACTTCTTTTTTTGCGTCACCTCAAAATACTGTGGGCAATGCCCATATTTATGAACTCTGAGTACTGCTTCCATTTCACCTCAAGTAGTGGCTGTGTTTTCTCAGTTTGTATGGTCCCTATTGCAACCCACCTGAAATGTAGGACCAGTCCCTTATTCCTTACTGGCTCTCACAAAACTTCCATTTCCTTCACTAGGAACAGGTTTACTGCTTGTTGTCAGTTTTCGCTGAGAATTTTTTCAACTATGTTTTGCTGACTAGTTTCTTGGTAAATGGAAAACAAGACCCTGAGGTAGAGGACTGCAGTGTAACTTCTCCATGAATGTTCATTTACATTTTTACACTAACCAAGTTTTAACTATCATGCTGCTTCTATGGGCATTCTCCACAAATGTTCCAGTGAAGTAGTTTCCTGGAAAAAAAACTCCTACAAAGAACAGCTTTCAAGTGAATATGAGGACATTCCAGCTAACGCAGCTTTTCGTATGTGTAATTGTGAACATATGTGAATATATCTGCTAGGAGTTGCTCATTCCTTCAGGAATGGAAATCTAGCATGCACATACCTATGCAGGAAAACAACTGCAGCTTCAAATGTCAAATATAGATACTGATGCATTGGTTGTGGATCAGTAATTATTTGAAGAACTGTTTCTTTGAGTAATTTGTGATTATTCTGTGAATAATCTTAATCGTTAGATTCAACAGAACCAGGAAGTCTCCACAGAAGTTGAGGTGAAGTTCAGCAGCTGACATCTGCAACAATTTGACTGCCTCTACAACATCAAAAGCGAGACTATTTGCTAACTGGTCTCAGGAGCCAGCAGCAAGCACAGGAGATAGCACGGAGAGATGATTACAAAAAAAGTCATGCATTTAAGTGACCTAGCAGTGCTTCATTGCTCTTAAGAACTACAGCTGCTAAAATGGGATTTTGCCAGAAAGAGAGCAGAAAGTATTTTGAGTGTAACAAAACTCTACTTACATTTGTTATTAACAAACAGGTAAAACACCAGTGCGATAAGAATCCTGCTTCATTTACTAATATCGCCAGAACTACAGGGATTTGGCATGTTAGCAGGGCTTGACCTGTATCTGTCATTGTACTTGCTATGTTTTAATTTTGCACATTACTCAGATACAGATTCTCTTTTGCCTGCCTTGGACAATTACCTGATCTAAGGCATCTTTCTGTTGACTTTTTAATTTTCTAGTGGATAAAAGATTCTACCTGTCCAGTTCTTAAGAGTTGTTAGCCCATAAATTGAAATTGTACTATGCAATTAACAATTTTTATGAAGAGCTGCTTGTCCTACCTATAAGGAGAAACAGTCTGCAGTCACTGTAGCAAGCGTTAAAACAAACACACACAGCCCCTCCCCCGCAATTAAAAAGGCACATAGGGAGCCATTATGACATTTTAATAGTATGTCATTAGGCAGTAATTTTGTGGGTATGTCTTGTGTACTGAAATGCTTTCTAGTTTAGAGCTCTTAGGGGGGGCCTCATCCTGAAAATTACTTCACGTTCCCATAATGTTAGTATGGGTTCTCATTGACACTTGTGTAATTCCATATAAAGTTTATAGCCTTTCATACTGATGTAAAAACAGCACAATACATGACGCAATGTATCGAAGATATGCACAAATACAATTACACAAAGATGCTGAACTAGTGAACTTCAAAGGACTTGTGACTCATACAAATTAGATATGCAAAGAGGAGGCACAGTTCTGAAGAACTGCCGCAGAGCCTCATTCGCATTGTGACCAAATTCGGCTGATTGTAGGATGCCGCATAAACTGCCTCCGGGAGAGATCTGCAGATAGTACAAAAACCACCCACAGTGAAATGCCAGTCAAGTAGCAGTTGAAGGAACAGTCACTGCTTTCACTAAATATTTGAGTATGTGGGATAAACACAATAATTCTCTGGTGAAAAGCCGCTGAAAGAAAGATACTGGAATTAATGTACTGAATTGCATCAGGAGAGAAATCAGCTATTGTGTACGTTAATCCTGGAGATGACACAGCCTTTCAAAGCTAACAGAGATGTTGTGATGTCTGCATTACTACTTGATCTCATGGCATTTGACCAAACAGATTTGTTAGAGCAAAAACATTGTTACACTACTGGTTGCTCTGACTTAAGTCAGAAAGAAAAGATGCTAGTCTGGCCCAAAGACTTCCACCCTGAATAGCCAAGTTTTCTGCATGACTCTACTGAATTCATGCCCACCTATTCTTAGGAAGGCTGACTGCGTACCCAGGGCAGAAAATAGGGATTTGCTTATTGCACCACAGCATGCAGGTTTGTTACTGACTGGGGGGCAGTGATCTTCCACCTACAACTCACTTCTGTTACTCTTGCAAGAGAGACCAAATAGTGACCTTGTGTAACACCTGGGGCACAGCAGAGTCCCAGTTCTGGGCTGCAGGCATTATGAGTAATGCTGTTAACGTAACAGTGATGATGGGCCAATCCACTCTGTCAGAACAGAAGAATGTTCTTCTAGCTCTAGATGGCAAAGATGTTCCTCATTCTAATGATTTGCTAGCATCATACCATAGGCTATCGACAGAAGGTCACTTCTCCCTCATTTCAGTATTACTGTTTAAAAGAAGATGAATTCTTCTCTGTGCTTGGAAGAGTAAAATCCTTGCACTCCACAGATTAACTGGAGCTTTTACCTGTGACTTTAATGGAGGATGGAAGTCCATCCATAGCCTTTGGTCTTTGAGAGCCCCATCAGGAGCTATAGCGGCAGCCAAGGGACTTCCAGAAGAGCACTGGGTTCCAGACACGGTCACTGGGACTTTGCTGCAAGAGTCATGCACATTTGGTAACAGCCAGGTGATGGTGTTTGTGTCCTGTGACGATGACGACTGGAAGCTTCTCAGTGGTGTGGACAGATTTAAGCTGTATCATCTCGAGGGTGATGACAACTCCCCTACAGCCTTATTCTGCCTGTGGGAAGCTTCCTGGGAAGGACTGTGCCTGTTTCTGTCAGCACAGAGCTATGCTAGGGCTGGGAGGTCTAGAGGGACAGTCCATCTTTCTCCCTCTTAACCATCTTCAGTGTGCTATGACTAGATGTGTGTATATGCCTAACTCTATCCTGGTAAGTGCAACCTAGTGCCTTTTGTGTAGAGTTCTTTAAATTCTATAGCTAAAAGCTGTGTTGCACCTAGGCATTGCACTGAAGATTATTATACAGACCTGAATTTGCCTGGGCTGTGCACGTCGGTTTTGATGGAGTTCACAGCATATTCTGGTCTGTATGTTCCACACCATACCTACACATGTAACAAAAAACGCATTTGTTAGCCGTAAGATTGTCCAGGAAGAGACCTGCTATCATTTCACTATGAAATACTCAATGTATTGAGAATAAATTTCACATTAGAACACAGAGGAAAAAAAAGAGTATATTTTGTTAAAAAAAAAAAAGTATACTGTTGTCTTCAGACAAAGGCACTTGGGCATAAGTAACTGTCTACCAGATATACTCATGTCTGAATTAATTTATTTAGGGAAGATAAAAATTGCCTGTCAAGACTTTATTTTCATTACTTTGTAGTGAACACTGCTCAGCTTAGCAACTCTGCCAGCTCTTACCCCAGCCTATTCTTTCTGACTTACTGTTATACTATAACTTCAAGTGATTTGCAAAGCCTTCAGTCAGGAAGTATAGAATACCTGTGCGAAGTTCAGAAAAAAAAGCTGTTTATGGTTCATTTCAAGACCAGGAAGAAGTTTTTCTTTTCCATGCTTTTTCACAAAGTTTTCATAGGCCTGTAGAATGAATTGAGTAGAAATGTTACAACTTCCAGCCCAGACAGTTAAAATGAAATGGTGATCAGGAACATGGATTCTTTGACACAACTAATCATGGACTACCTTGTCCATCCATCTTACCATATGCCACCATTAAGCAGAAGGCGACAGGGCCATTTCTTAGTGCTGTGATACCAGTGGCCTGACTGAATCAAGACAGTTTTCTCACTGAATGGGCCCTACAGTACTGTTTTACACCAGGTTTAGTGAAGCTGCCTGCATTATATTGGAATAAATGGTAACAGAAACGGGCTTAAAGAAGGCAAATTGTATTTGATTGTAGCAAAAAGAAGTCAAGGCTGGTACAGTAAGATGGGTACACCCAGTTAATAAGGTTTTTGCGTAACTATGCATCTTTTGACAGGGGAAGCAATTAAGAATGCAGAGGAGTACAGTTGTGTTCTGAAATATAGTAACTACAGAGAGTTAGTACTATTCCTTAGCAAGCTTTATAATAATGTATTAAATTCCACTGGACTGTTACATATTTACTTGGCAAATCCTTTCATAGGGTTAATTAATGACTGCATAAAGCAAGATGGTTCTGTGTTAAAAAAGAACATGTTCTCTAACAGAAATGACTGTGAGATTCTCTGACGTGAACTGAGGGGTCGGTGTAGTGAGGCATCAGCAAGCTCTGTGCAAAACCAGCCTCCAAACTGTTGGGGTTCAGAGCTCTCGGTATAAAGATTCACCCGCAGCAGCTCTGTCTCCTGCAGGTTCTGTGGGTCAGGCATTACTGTCAGTTACCCTCGATATGTACCTTGTATAGTAAAGAGCCACATGGAAAAGCATGCTGCTGTGCTGCTTTCTAAGGCGCAGTCAAAAATGCACACACCTGAGGTGTCTCGTGATTGGGAGATTCCCTGTGCATGGATCCCAGGCTAAGTGACTGGACTGGGCAACCCAGCCTGCCCCTGCTCAGGGAGGCACAAATGATCTCCAAGACAATCAAGATGTGATCAGAGGATTCACTCCTCCCCCATTTGTTCATCTTTCCTTCTTCCCCTTCTTTCCATTACACTTGAGAGATAAGGGGCAAAAAGCTTCAGCTGTGGCAAAAAAAAAGAATTCTTTGATTCTACAGAACACATGGATGTGCTGTCCTGTTTACAGTTTGGTTTTCTCTCAAATGTTTATCGCATAAATGTATTTCATATTTTTTGCCACCTATTTGGTTGGAGTCTAAAACACCATGCTTATGGTAAGATATGCTTTCCCTGTATAAAATGCAGAGTTCCAGGATCCAATTTTACTAGCACAAAACTGATTCTGCAGAAGACATCACTTTTATCAATTATTTAATGTTGCATTACGAAAAGTAGATTTTTTTCATTGTGGTTTTACTCTTTTTATTAAGCGAATTGCAGAAGACTCTTAAAACCTTTCCATAGCAAGAACACCTGCTTTCATCTTTCTTATGAAGACCATGTGTTAAGCAATGTGTTGTTAGTATATCGTTGCTGAGAGAAAGATGCTGGCAAATTGGAGAAATGTTCTGACTAAAGTCAGTGCCAAGCTACTGCCCAAGTAAAGGCAATCAACTGCACCAGTGCCAGCTGAGGAATGAGCAGCTAACATGAAAAGGCTCTGGAAGTTTTAGTGGGTAACAAGCTGAACAAGAGCCAACAGTGCCACAGTATTGCAAAAAAGGCAAGTGTCATCCTGGGATGTATACACAGGAGTATCTTATAAAAGATATATGAAGTAATCCTCTACCAGGTCTCAGCTGGAGCACTCTGTCCAGTTTTGGGCACCGTAGTTCAAGAAAGATGTGGACCAACTGGAGAGAGTCCAGAAGAAAGCAGCAAGAATGAGCAGAGGTCTAGCAAACATGACCTATGAGGAAAGATTGAAAGAATTGGGTTTGTTTAGTCTAAAGAAGAGAAGTCGGGCCCTTCAAGTATGTAGCAGTCTTCAAATACGTAAAAGGTCGCAGAAAAGATAGGAGCAGATTGTTCTCAGTTTCCACTGCTGAAAGCAACGACATGATGGCACTCGAACTGCCGCAAGGAAGTAGCGGAACTTCTCTTATGGTACATTTGATAGAGAAACGGTTGATCCTACCTGCTAGGAGGCAGGGGGGTGTGGAATAGATGACTTCTCAAGATTCCTTTTGGACCTTTTTTTACTATTTATATGATGTCATAATAATTATGGATATCTAATTCTTTTTTTTGTAATACTTCTGACCTTCTAATTTTTCTCTGGCTACTCCTATTCCTTTCAGAAAGAGGATCCCTTTTGTGGGTTTGTACTGGTTTGGTTTTTTTTTTTACATGCACAAATGTTCCAGTAATTGAAAATCAGACTAATTTAATATGCCACACTGATGCCTCTTTTAGACTTCCAAATTATTCTTTAAACTCTCATCAATAATTGTATTTGCCCTCAAGCATCTAAACTTGTAGTGAAGTAAGTGTTGCTGATGGCTTTCTTTGCAGAAGCTGTGATGGTAACTTTGAGAAGTGAGTTGGCCCAGGCATCCCAGCAGGCACTTTGTTGAGGAATGGCAGCACTCTGGTTGTCAAGTGTTGAATATTTTGCCATAGAACAAGGTGTTCAGGGAAGGAGAGCGAGGATCATGTTATTAAGGCCTGTAACCATCAGATTTGCAAGTAACAAGAAAAGTTCATAGAGAAGCTTACTCGCTTCTCAGTTCCCAGCGTGCATTCACAAAGAGAAGACCTCTGCTTCTTTTAGTTTCAGTCACAAAGTTGGCCAATCTAAGGAGTTAAGTGTCCGTTTCAGGAAGAGAATGAAAGGAAAGCCAAAAAGCATACAAGCTCCAATGGAAGGCTTAGTGCAAGGAGCCCAGATGTCACAGATATTTTTGGATACCTGTACCCGAGTCACTGGTACAAGATTATATTTTGAACATTTTTTTTGTACAGTGAATAGTGTTTCATGCATGCATGGGTCACAAGTAAGTCATTCTGTCCCTCCTTCCAGGCATGAAAAAGCTGGTGAAGACAGACAGGCAGAGGCAGACAGCTCTCGGTATCATCAGTTCTGTTAGGTGATGGTCCAAGTGTGATTCATTAAATGTTTTCATTCTACATGTTCCTTATTCACAAAAGGGGGGGGGGGGGGGGGGAAGAGAGGGAAAGAAGTCAGCTGAAAAAGAGTGCAGTAGGAACAGGTAACATGCTTTCTGAAACAATTAATAGGATGAAAGAAATACAACAGTTGGTCAATAGTTTTACACCATGCCTTGATGACGCAGTAGGTATGGTCCTGTCCCCAACACAAAAATACTGTTTCTTCTTCAAAGGCTCTGGAATTAATTTTCTTAATCTATGATGGTTTCAGCTAAAATAGAATAATGGATACTTCTTACCTTATATGCTTGTCTGATACCTCCATTATCAGCAATGTTTTCTCCTAGTGTGTTGATTCCACTTAGCTGTAAAGTAGAAAGGAAAAGTATCGTTTTCTGAAAATAAGAGCTTATCCAGGACCTGTAACGCCAAACTTTGTGTGGGTTTTTTTCCCTTTTTTGAAGGCAAGAATTCCCTCAAAATCTGAAGTTTTAGCAGAAGATTATGTTAACATCCCTGAAAAGTCTTTGCCTTCCTGTCTCAAAATCCATGTGAATACTATTGTTTTCCTTAATCCTCTTCCTTCCCCTACAGGCAACTTTCTAGGCTCTTGTATCTCTTTTACCCAGATTTTCTGATGCTTAGTCATTGTTCATTCATTCTTCCTATTTTCTCCATGTCTTTAACCCTCCGTTTCATACTACTGCTCTGATTAGAGGAAGTGGACAGAATCTGTATAGTCTGCAAAACAAGTTAAAATCCAAACTCCAAATAGTTCAAATGATCAGTTAACAGACATCAGCAAATCTGCTAGACAGTATTTTTCTGTATATTAGGCAAGTTAGGTAGCTCTTTGGTAGCGAGATACATAGAAGATACCCATTTAGCTGGTATAGTATTCATAAGTCAGTGAAATATCACTGAAGAGTATGAAGCTTTGGTAATGGAGAATCTGTAATTTTATTTTTTAAAAATTGTATTTTCAACCTTTAGCCTAAGATATTGGGCAATGATATTCAAAGCTGCAAACCCAGAATCATTGTTAGATTTAATTTGATGTGTGAAAAAAATGGCAGAAAAATATGTTGAAATATTCTTCTTTATCTTTACTGGCCTCTCTGAGTCCCAACAGTTTAAGCCACAGATTAGGAAAACCTCAGGTCTGGAAGTTTTATCTTTTCCCTATTCAGTATGATGGAATATACTGTCAGTCTCTAAAAAAACAGACAGTAGCGGTCAGAGAAATAGCTTCCTGTAAGTGTCTTCTCATTTACCACTTAGCTGTAGGAGGTCCCATCCAAGAGAAATTTTGCTCCTTACACAGGAACAGGTAGTGGCACAGTTCAATGCCACATGCCGTTATGCAGTGAAGTCCAAAATACACAAGGTTGTCTTCCACAGTGCAATGCAACAGAGTGCTCCTGTAGTAAACTGCTTTCCTTTCTTTCCTGGGCAGCAACGATGCAGGGGCTGACACTCACTTGTCATGTGGAAGATGCAGGACTGTGAACTAAACGCTGCACTGGCGCAGGATGTACCTTGGCTGACGGCATGATGGCAGCTCAGCTAGTAACTGTGGTTGAAATCTGCTATCTGTAGCTTTGAAGTATGTGCACTGCCAGCCTGGGACAGTAAAATCCCTATAGCAGCAGGGTGGGAGCACTGGGAAGATGATTAAAACTGTCTCTAGACAATTAAAGCTGGGTTGTGTACTAGAGATAATGCAGGTGCATTAGCAGAGCATTTTGTCACCCCCAAAATGACATGCTATGAAGTGCTGTGTTACGTACACAGGGCTGTCTCCTTCCAGTGGCAGTTCTGCAGCTTGCATTTAATAGAAAAAGGACTGGTCTCCTGTTCAGTATGAGTAATTATAATATCAGTGTCACCTGTTTCTGTGAGTTAATGGAATATTGATCTTGCTGGGACACAGAACAGACCTGATCCTGCTAACTGTTCTCGTGAAATTAGGGCTTCAAGGCACAGGCACTACACTGAATGCCTAACAATTTTAACTGTGCAGAATGCTGTAAATGCAGTCACGTTTAGATTGCCTGCCTCTCCTAAATCTGCGTATCGTCCCTCCCTCTCCTACTGTACCCTGATTCTCTTCAGACCTTTTAGCTCAGTAGTCCAAATGATTCTCTGGGGAAAACAGCATGAAACTTTTGAGTGAGGGAAACAGCAAGGCAGGATTTGTTTTTAATGGGGATATATATTATTTGCCCATCAAGCTTTGGGGAAATGAGATTCAAACTTCCATATTTTTTTTTCTGTTCCTTTGTGGAAGTAAAAAAGAGCCTTTGAGGTCCCAAAAAGGCTTCTAGGATTGCCACTCATTCAGAATATAAATCCTGCCTTGTTCAGAACAGTCAGTGTATGTGTGGAGTTTTTACCACTTTAATTTTGAGACTTTTTTTTGTGTGTGTATGTAGGAGTGACAGTGATGGCCATAAGCCATGTAAATGAGGGTTTGCATGTTTAGGACATAAGATTTCATGCTTCCTCATTAAAAGGAACATTGGTAGTTATAAATAAATATGACATACATGCTGTCCACCTGCTAGGTCCCATGAAAAGTTTCCATACTGGTACACCATACACTGGGACAGCTCCTTAAAATTGTGTGCTGATTCTTCAGTCCACCAGTCTACAAGGTCTCCATTCTCATTAAAATTTCTGCCTGTAATAATATGTTAACAGAATTATGCATACAGGAAAAGAGGTTTTAGATGCAGTAAGAAAGGTAGCAAGTAAGTATAGTCACGCATGCAAAAAAATCACTGTAATGAGGTAGTCATATAGATTTTTTTTTTTTTTTTTTTTGGTCTTGCTAAGAGGGCTATATTTCAGCAGAGGAGAAAAACAAACAGACTGAATCAGAAGATGGGATTAAGGCTCTCTTGGGAAGCCTGGTATGGTTCTGACCTGTGACTCAGTGCTGGACTGATCATAATGTGGATCTAGCCATGAACGATGTGGCTGGGCAGCAGTTCTGACAGCGAGACCCTTGAGTTCACACCTATGCCAGTCTAGTGACACACCCTGTTCACAATTATGTGTAGTTTATGATGGTTTTTGATGTAGCCTTTGGGAAAATCAAGCGACTAGCAACTCTATTAAAAGCCCTTGTATGCCACAGGCCCACATCCTGGGCTGTTGCTGCAGCTTAGCCACTACAGGAGTGTCTGTGGGACTCTTTGGATCGTACTTTTGGGAATCATCATGGGGAACAATACTGTAAAGCCTCAGAAATTCACATTTGGTCTTATACATGGACATTTCATCTTAATTTTATCTGCTCTCTGGAATGATTAAGCACTAAAGCATGTAAAACATTCTGTGCATTGTAAGTGTTGTAAGTAGAAACTCAGTGCCTTACCGTTGTCATCAAAACCATGTGTGATTTCATGACCGATAACCATGCCTATGCCACCATAATTCAGAGATTTGGGCTGAGATGCACTGAAGAAAGGGGGCTGCAAAATGCCAGCAGGGAAGACTGCAAAAAACACCAACCACAGCACAATTAAGGCCCTGCCTCATTATCCTATGTGCACAGTGTGAACAGACCATTTGCATGGGCCTCACTCAACCAAAGTCATGCTGTTCCCCCAGATTTACCAGCAACAAGTGAACTAACACATGGTAATGGCTGTAGGATAGTAGGAACAGATCGGCGGGACTGCTCCCCTCTTCAGATGCTTGCAAAATCATGATCAGCTTTTACTTTGTCTTTGTTATTATTTTACTTTGCAAAAAAGCAGTTTACTTTTCCACTTCACAGCACTTAGCGTTCTCAGACTCCTGTATCATGTTAAATAAACTGCGTAACATCATAAAAAGTGAGAAGACATTCCCCTAGAACAGTAAATTATTTGATCATTGCCCTCACCACAAATCAATCTCGGAAAGAGGAATTTATTCTTCCACTGAAAATATCAGTAACTCCCACTAGAATCAATAAAAATAGGCCAGGCTGCCAATGAAAGAACTGGAACAAAGTGGTTCTTTTCACCCACTTCTGTGCTCATTTTTCTAGACTTTTAAGAAACAAATAGCAAAAAAGAAATCATGTTGTAATTGTGATCTTTTTATAAATGAAGAATTTAAAAAAAAAATTTGTATTTACACTTTGTATGTAATGCAGACCTTCTCCCTGTACCTCAGCCTGTTGCAGCAATATAAAGTACAAATTCTCACTGTGAATGAGATGTATGTAACTCTACAACACTTGAATAAAAAAGTGGAATTGGATGACAGTTTTCACACAACAAAAGAAAGAAAACGGATACTTTTTGCATTTCTGCATAAATCCGATACCCTTCTAGCAGTGTCTTTCAAGAGGAGAAAGAACCATGGGAAAAGTGAAAAACAACACATTAGAAAAATACCTATTTCTGCTTTCCTGTGCAAACTGCTGCCTACTGTCACAGTAATTCTATTACATTGTTAGTTTGACATGGAATTAAATACCCAAATATTTTTATGTTATTATCAGAAAGTATTGATACAAGACAGGAGTGTAAATGCCATGTTGTGTAATGGTCTGTTTTGACGACTGGCAAAACAGAGTGGTGCCTGGAGTGTACGGCATCAGAAGGCTGTTCTTTCTGGAGATAACTGCTAGCAAGATGTTTACTCAGAAGAATATGTACCAGTCCTGGTGGCCTGGAATATTACAACTGTAATTCACCTCGAGCTCAGCCTGTCTTTTGCATGAAACCATAGGACCATCTTCCCTCCCTGGAGGCAGACAGTTCCCCAGGACTTTCAGTTCAGTTTAACTCCCTGTCAGCGCATCCATTTTTTAGAGTAAAATGTCAGAATTCATAGATTTTATTTATTTTTAACTCCACCTTTCTGAAAACAACTTCTTTCATGACCTCTGTTACATAATACAGGTCTGAAGTGGACAGGCATTCCTTCCACAGTGGAATACATTTCAAGTTGAGATTCAAAGAAGAGAGAAGTGCAACTCCTTTGGGATCTAGATGGCAGCTTGTACTTCACAGCTTTGCAAATATCCAAGGTAGAAAAAGGCTTAAAGAATTTCCCTCAGGATCTGTGCAGCCTTGGCCAAAAGAAGACATGCTGCTTTTCTTGAATGTGTTAGAGGACCGTAACACCTTTGCCAAGATTGACTGTGTTGCAGAGTGTCCCGCAACAGCCAGAAGCACGGGTCAGTTCAATTTTGTGTATCTGCCTGTGGGTCAGAGTAGCTGGTACCTAAAGGGACATATGGTGGGCTACCTCACTAGCAGAAGCTCAGCTGGTTTTTTTGAGTGGCTTCCTTCTGATCAGTGCTGCTGATGGAACAGTGAAGATCAGACCACGTTAAAATGTAATAACAGAGCTCTAAATTTGCTACACACCATGCACAGAACTCCTCTTTAGAAGGATTTTTTTAAAAAGCATAATACTAAGCTAATTCAGACATCATTCTAAAGATCAGACTGCTTTAATTATCCTGTGGCCTGCCATAGCTAAAGGATGAGGTAAGAATTATAGCTCATATTGACTGCCAGTCACCAGTTTCAGTTTTTCAAATCATGATTCATCTTCTATGAATTACTGAACAAAGACATTTTAAACAAAGTTTTCCGGGCAGATTTTTGTCCTAAATGGTCAGTAATGAGCTAACCGCTCACTTAGCTTTACCACCTGCCAGCTGACTGCACCGTCTTGCCATCCTTAACCAAGCAGTGCTGGTCAGTTAAGTCAACACAGGTTTGCCTCTCTGAAGTCTATCATGGATTTCACAATGCTTATGTCACGTTTTACCTTTAGAACCCACTGCAAATCCAGATCGGTTTGGGTGAACTGGAAAAGTTCATGAACCTTGGCAAATACCACCAAAGTTTTAAGTAGGACATGAAACCTAAAAATAGGCATTGAGTATTGTAGCTGCTGAATTCCTACGCAAACAGCACCATTTGTAGGGGGCTGTTTCCTCTTGTCCTCAGTATGACTGACATTATGAGGCTGACAATGCTGCAGTCCCACTGTGCCCAAAACAGTACTCTCTGATTCTGGAAGTGCAAGCTATTGCAAAGACGCAGGCCACTGGTGGGAGAAGTCAGGATCCTGTTTGCAGAAGTCTGCTTAACAGATCACTTGACTCAGTAAAATCTGAAAATCTAGGACTCCAGCACATTTTAAAAATCTTCAATTCTTCAGTGGGGCCAGAAATAATTAAAAAGGATAAATCCTTTTGGAAAGATTGGCTTAGTTTGTTGATCTCTTCCATTACAAACCTGATGCTATTCCTTTAAACCTGCACTCGCGGAATCAAGACTTATGTGATCAGGGTTGCTAAATAAACTTCATTTTTTGCACAGAAAACACTGACTGTGAAAATTGTAGTATGCTGTATTAAACATACCTGGTAAAAACTGTAAGAAACCTGCATCCATTTGGCTTACTGGAGTTGTGCTTGCAGACTGAACAGCAGGGAGTGCTTTTTGCCATGTAATAAAGTATGATACTTGGTCCTAAAGTAAAGCTTCGTATTACCTCTGGCACTACTGAAGTCCTGCTGGTAGTGGCAGTCTTGCAGATCAGTGACATTATTTTTGACACTAGCATTTTAAGAGCCCAGCGGAAAAGAGTACCTGACATTTCTCACCTTGATTTAATGGCTCGTTTGATAAAAGAAGTGGGACTATATAAGAAGCCATTACTAAAGACTGAAAAGAAGTGGTAATTTCATCCCTGGCAATGAAAATAATGTTCTCCACCAAGTATTTTCTTTGGATGCCTTCATAAATAAACAAGAAATAATACCGTTTCATTTCTGGTCAGAGCCCTGCAGGACAAGGTTTTTTTCATTTTTTGAGAGACTTGTTTTCAGGAGTTATACATGGATCATAGTACCTCATTAATGGCTTGAAAAGGACGCTGCAATTTATGAAATCTGGATGATAACAATATTTGCAGAATGGGTATGACAGAAATATTTTGAGGCACAATTAATGTTGTAAAACATTTTGTGACTCTTGAAAGACTGTACCACTGCGAAGAGAGCTGGTGAACACAAGATGAGAAACCTAAGTGCTTCCATGCAGTTCTAATTTTTAGCTATAATGGATTTTTAAAAAAATTTCTTTAAAAGCATTTTAATGCTTTCTCTTCTATTTTAAGTTATTTTTAACCATGTATGGTTTTGGGTAGGCTGACATTAGAAATATTTATACTCAAAAGCACTGCAAAAACTCTTTCATTGTACTGAACTTCTCTCTTACTTTTTAAATTTGATTTTCTCCTTGGTTTAATCTCACAGGTTTCCATCTTCATTTTTCCAACACAAAAGCAGCAGAATTAAATGACAACGTAAGACAGAACTTGAAGTCATCTGGCAGACTTTAAGTCTTAAGCATAGCAATTGAGGATGCCTCAAAATTCCTTAGAACTTTACTTAAGCCATATGTAAAAGAATATACGTTCAAACTTTGCATTTAAGATAGCTAACAGTTAAGACTTGCAATTTAAGTGGGACTACTTAAGGTAATACTAGTATGAAGCTCTTATATGCTGTGATTCATAATTAGATCTTGAAGTGCTAAGATAGCCAGTGAGAAATTTTCTGAGTAAACTTTGTCTTTTCGGAAATGCTAGTTTCATTGAGACCCAAGTGTTTTGTTCCAATTGTCATTACTTTTACATAAAGAAGGTGGTGACAGAGCCACGTTGGATTTCTGTCTGCTTGGGACTTGAAGCAGCCCTGGAACAGTGAATATATGCTCCAGAAGCAGTGGCCCCCTGAGTTCCTGGTCCCGTGCAGCATGGGACAAGTTTGCTTAGCATGGCTTATGTCATGCTGGAGCTGATAGCTGGAGGCCGTCTTTCTGAACGCTGGATCTTTCAGCCGTGTATGGAACGTATCGGAAATGAGGAAATAGAAACTGAGAATAAGCTGGTTTTTGCACTAATATTTCAGCATTATTTCATCATCAAATGCATAACATTTGTTGTCTTGATACTATGACATTTGTTTTAGACTGGTCTCACTCTCTGTAGTTACCCTTATGGAAAGTAAAGTGTACTGCTTCACGAGAACAAGTATGGGGCTGTGATTCTGGCCTACCGTGTGAAATGTTAGGGGATTCTGAGCAGTTCAGTCAATGAGCTGGTGTATTCAGTGACCAGCAGCCTGAAATTCAACATCCTTCCCAAAGCCATGCTAAATAAGCTTGTACAAAGTGACTGAAGGAGCTATGAGTAATGGAAGCCATGTGTACTCTATGGCAGGAAGCTCCATGGCTTTCTTTTAGTCAGTGTGTCCTTCAGGTAAAAGTGGTACTGTTCTCCCTGTTCATCCCTTAAAAACAAACAAAGGCTCAGGCCACCAAATTTACTTGGTCATTAAACTTCTAGCCACTCCACACTGCTGTTGTTTTCACGGCTGAGTCCCAAGCCTCTGTACTTGTTCTGCATAAAGGCAACTCAAAACAC